TCAGTGGCCAGGAGTGGTCTACCTTTGAAGGGCCACAGCTGAGGACAGTCAATAGCTCTGTTGGTCCATCGTTGGACCAATGATTCTCAACCTTGGCAAGTAGAAGATGGATGGACCAACTCCCAGAATTCCCCTCTGGGAGTTGAAGTCCACCCATCATCCAACTGCCAAGCTCGAGAAATACGGTCATAAATCTTGCTGCTGTTTTGGCCTCCTTAGGAACAGCACAAGTTAAATTCACAATTACAAAATTCACAAAAAGATAAAGCATGGCCAAATAAAAATCATAACAGGAGCCCACCGACCCATTGTTGGGGGGGGGACTCAAAAGACCCCCAGCCTGCCTTCACTTTTGGAAGCCTAATAAGGCCGACCAGCCTAAGCCTGGCTCTGCCATCTTTATTGCCCTTGGGCTGGCAATCTGCAGGGACAGGAGCTGGCCCAGGAAGGAGGTGAAAGGCTGGTGGTCTCCTAGCAGAAGGACCCCCTCCCCTCCTGCACAACAGACATTTGCAGGCATAGTTTACCTGAGCCTACAAGCTCATTCCTCCTGGCATAACAGTTTGGAACCGGTAGTCCGAAGATGGACAAGGGATGGAGGCACAGGAGGAGAAACTGGCCCCCTCCCATCTCAAGGGTCCCCCAAGAGCACAGCGGGGAGACTGTTGGGGACCTTCACAGGTGTGCCCGGCCTACCTTGGCCAACTGGCCTCTGAGGTTGCGGACTTCACCCTCCAGGTTGCGCTTCTCCCCCAAGGCGGTGGTGAGCGCAGCCTCTTTGGAGTTGAGCAAGGCCTCCACATCCTTCAGGCGGGCCTGGGCAGCGAGCAGTTCTCCTTTCTTCTTGGTGTCCCTGGAAGAGAAAGATGCAGCCATCGGTAAGGAGGAAAGTTCTTGTGCCCAGCAGCCCCACCAGATGGATTTTGGGAGACTTTGGGAACAAGTCTTGGGAGAAACAGAATATTAATCAGATTCAAACTCAGGCCCAGAGATAAAGAGAACAACTCCATTTACACACCTCTGCAAATTGTGGCTCGTTCATTTGTAAGCGAGTAAACCACAATAGGCAACACCCATAAGATGCCCATGGGAATAAGACTTGGGAGCACCAGAACATTAGCCAGATTTGAACCTAGCCAGGGATAAAAAGAGTGACTCCATTCACACATCTCAGCAAACGACGACTGAGTAAACCACAACAGGCTCACGTGTGAGTAGAATTGCCTTTTCTGGGAATCTGGCGCCCTCATCTGGCTGTGCTGATCATTGCCCAAGCTCTTGTGGGCGCCATGTGGAGTGTGGCCGGAAGGCAATGCGTGCAATTCTAGACATCAAGAAGTCCAGGCTTGAAGGAGCAGAGACTTTAAATTAGCAACCCCTCCAGAGGGAGCTCCCTTTCATCTGTGGGGCTGGCTATTTGGGCGGCCTCACCAGCAAGGAGGAGAACTGATCAAAAGCAGATCTGGCCCCAGTAGCCTCAGCTGCTGAGGACTCAAGAAATGTGCAGCGCTAATTAAGATGTTGAAGGGAAATCCTGACTTAGAACAGTGGTTCTCAACCTTTTTAATGCCGCGACCCCAACCGGTCATACGTCGAGGACTAAACCGGTCGTAAGTCGAGGAATAAACCGGTTGAAAGTTGAGGAATAAACCGGTTGTAAGTCGAGGACTACCCAACCGGTCGTAAGTCGAGGACTTTCCCTGCCCGGGAGTGCCGCGCATGCGTGGTTCCGCCCCCTGCGCCGGCCGAGGCATAGCTGGCAAGCGGCAGCAGGCCGACCACCAGCTGGCCCAGCCCAAGGGAGGTAAGGCACCCGCCGGAAAAGGGGGAAAAAATGGCAGACAAAAAAATGGCGGACAGCCTTGCTTGGCGACCCCCATGAAATGGTTGATCGACCCCAAATGGGGTCCCGACCCACAGGTTGAGAACCACTGACTTAGAAGAAATACGCTGTTCTCTGGTCGTAAAGGAGAGATTCCTTCCAAACTGGGCACCCGAGAGCTGTGGGGACCAGCAAGGCCACCAAGGGCCAGGATTTCAGGCTGAAGGTCAAAAGACAAACATCTCCACGAAGGGAAAGGCGAAGGGCGCAGCCGACTGAGTCACAGAGCGATGCTTTGTGTCCCAGCACTTGGGAGGATCATCAACTAAGAATTCGTGCCCATAGAAGAGAATACTTGTAGCTCAACTGTGGACCAACTGGGGGGGGGGCGTTCCCTGATGCTCTCAGGGCTTCTTGTTTCCTTGCAGATCTTTCACTGAAGTTAAAGTCCGCACGTCTTAAAAGCTGCCAAGACGGGAGGAACACTGGTTGTTCATCCTGTGTGGCATTTTTCAGCTACACTAACCATCAGGTGGAGCCCTAAGTGGCATTAATCACATTCAATGTTGTTTTTTTTATCACAAAAACTGTCTGGAGTTGTGAAAAGTCAAGCAGGAGAGAAACAGAGCGATAAAGCAATGAAGACCAGTGAGCACAACCCTCCAGGGCGCTCGGCTCAGCCTCGGATCTGGGGTGAGGGGCTCGGCGCTGGGCGGGAAGCCCGAGGTGAGTCTGCCGCACGTTTTACGGAGCACAGCGGAGGAGAAGGCCCACAGCGGGAGAGGAAGCAAAGGCCGCTTTCTCCCCTTCAACTGCCAAGCCTTGAGGCAAACTGCTTGGAGGGGGGGGGTCCCCGGGGCGGGGTCCAGTAAACCCAGCAGGGAACAGGGCGGGGGGGGCTCCTAAGTAGCCCCTTTCCACTCTCTCCACTCAGCCCAATGCAGGATGCCAACAACGCAGTCAAAGCAGGGGAAATGGGGCCTCCGTTTTTTTTTTTAAGTTTCATTTGGCTTTAATTTAGGAAGGAGACGGGAAACTCTGTAAATACAGAGAAGAGGAGGAAAAATCTGCATGTTTATCGGAGCTGGGATCCAAGTTTCCATTCCTCAGCTGCCTCCCTTTCCTTCTGGAACAAGACAAGATGCAACTGGAAACTACAAGGGCTTAAAAGCAGGGCAGGCTCGCTCGGGAGCTGACGGGGAGTAGAAGGATGCAGGCAGTCCTCAGCTTACAACCATTCATTTAGTGACTGTTCAAAGTTGCAACGGCACTGAAAAAGGTGACTTATGACCGCTTTTCACACTTATGAGCAGCATCCCTCCCCCGGTCACGTGATCAAAATCCCGACGCTTGGCAACTGACTCACACTCGTGACGGTCACTGTCTCCCAGGGTCACGTGACCCCCTTTTGCAACCTTCTGACAAGCAAATTCTTTAGGGAGGCCGGCTTCACTTAACAATCACGTTACTAATGTAACAACGGCAGTGATTCACTTAACAACTGTGTGAAGAAAGGTTGTCAAATGGGGCAAGACTCACTTAACAATTGTCTCACTTAGCAAGAGGGATTTTGAGCTCAATTGTGGCCGTAGCTCCTTATAGCTGGCCATGGGCCAATGGCCGCTGCTTCCAGCTGGGTTTTCAGCAACACCTTTGCCTGTTTCACTCCTCACCAATTGCCCTGCGGACTGGAACAAGTTTTCTTTCCTTCCCCCCCCCCCTCAGCTCCACAGATTTCGACAGAAGGGGGGGCTCAGTTTTGACTTGGATTTGCAGAAGTCCGCAAGGGGAGGGCGGGTGTCATGCACCTCCCAGGAGGAGGCCAGCTGAACCGAGTCCAGGCACCCTCCAGAGCGGTGGGTCCAAGGAAAGTTTTCGGCAACACGGATCGTCCAGAGAGGAAAAGCGATGATATTTGGTCACTTGGAAAGGCGAAACTATTTAATGCACAGATTTGTGGTTCTGGAATCCGACCGATGGCCAAAACCGGCTGAGCTGAAACTGGCAAGCGAGGATGGATGCTGCGCCAGTCTCTCCCCAAGGGTGAGGCTTATGCAGGCGGGCATATGACGAGTCCTTGAAAGGGGTGTGAGTGCCCGTGTGGTTCTGATTTCATATTGGCCTTGTAAGATGTAACTCAGTGTTACAAATTACACTCACGACAAATTACTAGAAAGACGAATCTAAAAGCCACACACACACACACACACACACACACACCCATTGCCCGTGGGCTGAGTTTTCTTCCACTTCTCACAAGCAAGCAATTGCGAGGAAAGTGCCCTTCAGCTGCTGGCATGGGTACCCAAGGGCAAAAAGGGCACCGGGCACCCTTGAGAGTATTGATTTTTCCTTTTTATGCTTCCACGTTTTTATTAAGTTTATCAAAATATAAAATACAAATAAAAATGAAAATAGTGAGAAAGTAGGGGAGGAAAAAGGGAAGAGGAAAAACTGTAGGATAAAAGGGGAAAAAGAAAGAAAAGCATTGACTTCTGACTCTTTTTAACCCAGTAGAATAAGATAAGAACACACACAGCCTCATTTTTTTTTACTTTTACTTCAAGGGAGAACTGTGCGGCCATTCTGCCCACTCTTGAGAATCTTGGGCTCTGGGTTGCAAAAGCAAGGTGGCACTTCTAGTCCTCATGACCGCTCCTCGCACAGAGCTCCTTTGCCAGAAACGGAGACGCCAGCAGAGAAGTTGCCAAGGAGACCTTTGGGCTGTTTCTCAAAAGCCACATCAAGCAACATCACAGCCACAGGATTCCCCCCTCCCCCCCCCAACCAAGGAAGTGGAATCTCAGAGTCATCCATTTCTACGTCACGAGGCTTTTTAAAGGAGGTGGGAAAAGGGACTTTCTATTTTGGGCTTGGGAGAACTTCCTCAAAGCTGGCACAGAACCAGCATGGCGGGGCCCATCACAGCCAGAAAGCTCCTTTCTCCCGGCCAGGAAAATCCCCTGCCCGGACTCTGCACAGGCCAACTACACCCAAGTTAAGCCCTCTCCTCCCCCACCCCCACCCCGACATCTCATCTCCTGCCTATGGCACGAAGCCCGAGGCTGCAAGGTGGGGGCCCCCTTGGAGAGCCAGACCCACAAATTGTGGAGGGGGGGTGTGTGGGGGGGGAGGAGAGGAGGAGGAGACAGCATCCACTCTGCAAACTCTGCACTCTACTCTGATTGGGGAGGGGGTGGCAAGCTAACTCTGCCGGGAATTTTCTTGCCCCCCCCTCCCGGGCCCCTCCCTCCACACTCTCTGCTTTGATCCTCCTACGCAGAGCAGTTGCTGCTTTCTGTGAGTTGTAAGGGCTTCCATGCAGGTAGTCCTCGTTTAGCGACAGCCTCATTGACATGATGAAAAAATAATTTTGCAGGTCTACGAAGCAAAGGGAAGCTGAAGTCAGATCATCAGCAATCCAGGTTTCACTTAGTAACCATTTTGCTTAACGACCAAGTGTCTAGGTCCCAACTGCGGTTGCTAAATGAGGATTCCCTGTAATGCAGCGGCCCCCAACCTTTTGGGCACCAGGGGCCGGTTCCGTGGAGACTGGTTTTTCCCCGGGAACTGGAAGGGGGCTGGTTTCACGTGCTGCCAGCACCCGGCAGACGGGGCTTCGCTTGTTTGTGCGGACCGGCCTCTGGCATGGTGTGGACCGGTGGCGGGTCCAGGGGTTGAGGACCGCTGCTGCAGTGCATTTTGACTGGAACGGCCAGAAGCACGAAACCAAAAAGGAAAACTCTCAGCCTATTAGCTCTCTGCAGAGGCTGCTCCCCCACTTGTGGTAACCACCTCCCCATATCCCCCCCCCAAAGGATTACAAGGGAAGGTCGCTACCTTTTCTCCTTTTCCTGCCAACCCTGCACTCCTCTCATGCTGCTGCACCTCTTCGCTCATAAGCCAAAGATGTTTTCCTATCCCGTGCTTAGAACACAACCAGCAATGTGGGGCAAAAGCCACAACCCTCCAGGCCAGGAAGTGGGGTCCTCCTCCTCCTCCTCCTGCACCCTGACTTGCCTGTCAGCACC